TCTTGTTACATTGTGTGTTTCACGTATTTATTCATCAATTTTAAATCAAATAGAATCAATGCAATTGTGTTTAACTCTTCATTCTCTTTATTTAGGTTCCTGTACAATTTTGTATGAATCGAAAGAGGCTGAGTTAGTACGCGTTTTGATATCATATTATGCAAGGTGAAATCGTTACCGAGTCAATCAATTTTGGAAATCTTTCTCGAAAATGTATAATAATGCAATGTAACCTCAGTGAAATTTTGACTTTAACATGCATGTCAGATAGACGACCTTCACTCAAGCCTTTAGTTCAAGAGACAATGCGAATGGTTATTTTCTCATATTGTAATGTTGAACAAGTGAATTCGTACATTTCCTTGCTAAAATAATAGGGAATTACATTGCTTTTTGACGAAATTTTCTTAATTTTTATCAAAATGACTTTTCGTTTCAATGAGAATTTTTCTTACACGTATCACTCGCTAATTCTGACCGAGAGATATCATAATATTCACAAACTTGGCATCGACATTTCAACCATAGGTATTAGAATATTCAGCTCAAGCATTAATGGATAGTGATATATCGTTAACGTGAGGAATTTGAGTGCTTTTGGTGTAACGAGGTGGATATTAAAGTGGGTACTCACATGCCTTTAGAGTTGAAGATTTTGAGTGTTGTGATGCAATAGTCCAGAGACTTTTGTTTGAGCTTAAGATAAGAGTTTGAGTAGTTTCAAATACTTGCTTAGTTACCTGAAAAAGTTAGATGGATGTAATATTGTAACTTATTGATTTTATGTTTCGTAATGGAAATGATATTTGAGCGAAAACATAGTATAATCGAAAATTACAACAGAAACATACCCACCCACCCCGACCTCTCTAATAAATGTCTAAGCATTTTTAGCAGTTTTATTTTTTTTTGTTTTGACACAAAAAAAATTATTTTTTTCATTTAAACTTTATCTATTTTTACTCGATGAATAAGTGCATTTCCTTGTGTCATATATGTTGATTGTAATAAAGTTGTAATCATTTTTTTCTCTGCATCTGTTGATAATTTCTTTGTTGTAATAAAAAATGAACCATCGTTTTTTATTTTTATTTTGGTTAATGATGAAAACCATTGTAGATTTAAATGACGAATATTGTCAATGTCATAATCACATCTTGAAACATGAATATCAATATCAACACGTTTTAATGATACAGAATTATTTTCAAGAACATCAGAGAATTTCTCAAAATTAAAACTATTTGTTCCACTATACCAACTTTTGATAGGAGCTTCATTCCATAGGAATTCGAGTCGATGAAGATTAGGCAATGATTTTAATAAAATTTCAAGATTAGGATCAAGTTGTCGAAGTTTAACTTTTAAATGAGATATATTATGATGTTTTACATCAGCTTGACGAATAGTTTGATTATTTAGTAATAAAACAATGTCTAAATAATTTAAATTTGGTAAACATGGAAGAATATTCAATACATCAATAATTGTACAGGAACCTAAATAAAGAGAATGAAGAGTTAAACACAATTGCATTGATTCTATTTGATTTAAAATTGATGAATAAATACGTGAAACACACAATGTAACAAGATTTGAAAATAAATTTGAACCAAATAGAATTGATTTAAATGTATTGTCATTTATGGTTAAATTAGTTAAAAATGGTAGACTATTCGATGTAATTTCTAAACTTTGTTCATCAGTTGGTATAGGTAAATAAAGTGAACGTAGATTAACAAATGGTTGAAGATTTATCTTATACGATAAGCGAGACCAATGACAATCAATAGCAAGATAAATAACTTGATAAGCAAAATGATTAAACATGCTTGATAATCTCTTCACAATGATCATCATTCATAATATAAATACATATCCGAATATCATTTAAAATATTATTTAAACGTGAATTAAGATTAATAAAACCACGATAAAGATCAATTGGATTAATAAATGAAAATAATTCTAGGAAAAGTTCATCAGGAAAAAGTTCTAATGTTGAAATTTCATGAGAGATATAAACACACGTCATACGCTTTTTTGTACATAACAAACAAAAAGTAAGCTTCTACAGGTCATATATGAGACAAAAAGAAAACATTGACTCATGATAAACCAAACGACAAAATAATAAACTTTCAATACCGAACCTTTCTTTCTTCATTGGCCACATTACACGAATATTAATAATTTTTACCTTCAGTGACTCATACCATATACATTCTTTCTGTCTACTGTTATTGCACCATATTCCCGCAATCAGAACTAATCTTTTTTTCCCACCATTGTTTTGCTTATATATATTCTGAGCATTATATCTCCTGACCAAAATAACACATTTATACTAAAATTACCTTGATTGTTACTTTATCTATTCTCAAAGTTACAGTCGTAAACAGCGAAAAATGGATAAGAAAACTGCAATGGTGTTTTATGTACTCATATGTGGTTGTAACAAAAATTTATTGTTCCGTTCATCCTAACTATGTTCAGGGCTCGATTTCTGTTCTGCGGTGATGTATTGTCACGTTATAGCCTTCCGATAAAAGGTGTGGATGTGAATAGACTCCTGTTACAAGGATACGCACATCCCCGTTTTTAGATCTGAGATAGATACGATGTAGTTCCCTCCCAATTTTGGTTACGAGAATCATCTGGAATGTGCGGTTCCGATGCGGGATTTTTTCAGTCGGAATACTGCTTCTATCTTCTGTAGATTTTTCCCGCCCTTTCCGGTAGGGATGGAGCGAGAACTGGACAAAATTGGAGGGAACAATGGCCGTTTTCTGCAGGATCTTTGCTTCGGAATCATCGATTTCGGTTATTATTCTACAAATATTTTTTACTGTATGGACTGACATGCACTTGACATAATCCAAACTCTAGATTCTGATAAAATCCAGCTAGATCTGTTGTGAAACTCCACATTGTTCGGCTTTTTCCGAGAAAAGGATCCGAGCAATTCCCGTATTATCCGATCTGAAATCCAGCCGCTAGGGTTGCGACTTGTTTTGTTAGAAAAAACGCTAGATTCTGATGTTGTGCGATGTTAGATCCGATCTTTTAAGGTACGATTCGCAGGCAGGATTGAATCACTCGCAGAGGTTTTCAAAAAAGATCTTGATCAAATCAGCAGAACTAAACACAATGTGTTGCATAGGCTATTTTTTATCAGGATAGAATCACTAACGTGGGCTTGTGGATGTGAGTGACAAGAAGAGAATCATAAACTCACACACGAAATTCACGCTGACATCCCTTCTTCATTAAACATTGAAATGAAAATATAAGGTATGCTGTCTTCAACGAAATAATGAACTCGACCATGTTGTAAATACCTGAAAAACGAAAAGAAATGAGTTCAGATACGATGTGCTTCATATGTGTGTGTCGTATTGTTGAAATAAATAGATAACTAGGTGAATCATAGTTTCGAAAGCAGTATTTCATTTTCTGTAGCTGCTTTCTCTAAATGTTTATTTCATATTTTGTAGAATGGACGATAGCCTAATCATTTTTTTGCCAGAATCAATAGATCCAGAATCTACTATTTTAAATAAACAGATGATCGATAAATTGATTGAAAAGTATATCTAACATCTTTTTTCTGATGCTAAGCGTATCATAATTCGATATAGAAAAATCGCAAAATAAACCATCTATGGTTATAAATTAAAAAATAATGAAAATATCACATTTAGAAAACAGCCACAATGACTAACATTAGATACAATGTGCAATCTGAGTTCATTAACTAACATGAATGCTACAAACTATGTGTTTATGTAACTGTTTGAACAAGGAATATTGTGCATCGATGGTCTAGTTAAAAACAAGGCAAATAATGTGCATGATATTTTTATTTATATTTTGGTAGAAAGCAATCACAAATGTTTTTTTTTCATAGCATGAAGCTCTTGTTTTTGCTGAAAATTAGCTATAAAAGCTCAATAAAAAAATTACATGAAACATATTATTTATCATGAAGATTTAATAGCATCAATTAGACACTTTGTCTCAATTAGAATTGAATGATTATCAGGATAAATTTTCCTTCGTATTTCCAGAGCTCTCATAGCGTGATCAAAAGCTTTTTCATCGACATTTCGTTTATGATAGTATTCTGCAATCATAAAGAAACAATCGGCCGCTACAGCATATTGAATATGAATATTTTTCTTTAATATAGACAATGCTCTATCCAATACTCGTATCTTTTCATCATTATTATCATCGTATAATCACCAATAGCTATTAAAATATTTGTAATGCTAATCTGATTTTCAAATGGCTCTTTTTCATAAATAAACAATTGTTCTTGACAAAAATCAATAGCATGTTGCTTCATGCCTCGCTTATTATATAAATCAGCTAATGCTTTTATAGATTTAATTCGAATATGATCAGCATTAAGTGAAATTCTATTACTCATTTCAAATGTTGCACAATAATAATCTTCGACTGTATTGTAATCTTTTAAAGTTAAATAATAATTACCAATAATACCTTGACATTGAGTTATTGCCTTATATGGACATGGATGAATTTGTTTAAGTATATCACGTGCTTCAACATAGCATTTAAATGTTGTATCATTACTTTTATTCATTGAATGTATTACATCAATATTAAGTTGAATTATAGCTTTTGCATAAGGATCATTTTGACATTGTAAAGCTTTTTCATAAGATTCCATTGCTTGAAAATAATCTCCAATTGCTTTATAATAATTACCAATACTATTTATTGCTAGACCGATTTTACGATGATTTGAACGTAGTTTTTTCTTTTTTTATTTCGTATGCTATATTAAAATTTTTGAATGCTTCTTTCCAATTAGTTACGCGCATATTTAGATTACCGATACAACTATAGATTGAAGCGCGATGTTCATGTGTGGTTGGCAAGACTTCTAATAATCTTTGAAAATAAGATTCAGCTTTAACATATTCATTCATATCAAGTAGCAAGCGACCAAATATCAGATTAATACTACCATTTGAAATCTTTTTTTTTATTGTTTCAATTTGCTCTTCAATCTTATCTTTTAACTCATCAGTTGCTTTCATCTGAAGGGGTGTGGGTGTGAATAAACACAACATATTACCCACACCCACACCCTAAACTAATATAAATAAATTTGGAATTTTCATCGCTAAAATTCTGATTGATAACGCTTCGATCTGATAACTCTAAATCTATTGAATTACACTGATTTTCGATACTAATAATTTATTATTCTGTATGGAACCCACATATACTTTCGAAGAAAATATAGTGAGTGAAAGTTTAAATCGAACCAGCAATAACCGTGTTTGAATCATTCTGAAACTTTCTAGTACCTTCCAAAGCATTATATGAATCCAAGATTTCTACTGTTGATTCTAACTAGCCTAAATATTATGAATTTTATTATTTGATTCAGGAAAAGGATCTCATTGTAGGTGTCAATCAGTAGGATGGTAGTATTGTCATAATCTACCAGAGTCAGAGTGTATCGTATATATTAGTATTAGGAGACAAAGAAGTTATGTATTGAAGATGTGGCTATCAATACAAATAAGATTTTTCAGTATATTGATGTTAAATAAATGTAATTAATTGATAGCAAATTATCTTAACCTCTCTGACAGTATACCATACATTTATAACAGTCAGAGTTTTTTGAGCTTCATACTATGGTTACTGAAGGGACCATACTAACAAGTTTTTCTTAGTTTAACCGAATTGAAAACATCATTTTTTTCTTTGAAATGGAAACTAGTTGTAACATATGGTTTATGTTTATTTTAATACATATAATATATAAAAATAGCAACCTAAAAAATGTT